AATGAGAGTCACATGAATAAATATTCTAGACTAGCCATTCTCAGTCTTTTTTTGGCCACAGTCATAAACACAGTATGAAAGAAAGATAGGCCAAATCAGGATTGTATACCCTTATGAGGTGATGTGGGAAGAATTGTTTCCAGACCGTGGCCCCCTTCAAACGGGCCAGGGCCCACCAAGGAGCAATATGGCTCTGTTGAGAATGGCTGTTCTAGTGAACTGCATGTTAAGAAATCCTCATGTAAAATAAATGTTTGAAGTTGTGCCGTATAATAAAGTATGTATTTTATTTTTAAAAGCGCTTTGATAATTAAAGCTGGCTTGCAGAAGGGTAGCTGTTTAAAATAGATTGCTGCAGGAGTTCAGAATCCCACATTACCCTTAGGATGTCCAACTTTATTGTTAGATCAGGTGTATTTTCATAAAGGTTTTAAGGGCAGATACAACATCACCTGGAACAAGACCTTCAAACTTTCAAGTTGTCCAGTAGCTAGAACATTTTCTTACCTATTATGTCATCTTCTTTAAAAATCTGGGACATAAGGTTTTGAGTGAATTTATGGAGAAACAATGTTTTTACTTAGCAATTCAACTGAGTCTTCACTCGGAAGCTCTAGCTAGTGTATTCAGCAGAACAGTGAGTCAGACTCCTAAGTTTTAATCCCTTTTAGGGTATTTTCCTCTTGCTTATTTGTAAGATGAGTAAGCAGTAACTTTAAAAAATAACGAGGAAATGTGATTCAAACACACAGCCTTCTACACTCAAAGGCTCTATGCAGAGAAAGCATGAGTCTGTCTAGGGCAGTTGCTGCAGTGTCTAAGATCTCAGTGGTGTACGTAGATTCTAAGAAGTATACTGACTTTAATCTGACTCTACACAAGGAAAATTAGCAGAGGACACAGAAAGTAAGCTGTACAAATTCACCCCACCCCACCATTTATTTTCCAGGACTTCACCTCTTTCTGCAAAAGTAGCTAGACTTTTTAGTAACTTCTTAGTACAGTAAGTTATATGCTTGGCAGATGCAATGGGCAGCAGAGTTTTATTATAGGCTTGCATGTAATGCAACCTGAAACCCACATGTGAGCCTCCTTCTCTTGAATTACTATTTAAGCTCTGGACTTTACACCTCCAGCATATTTCCTTATGTGATAGAACAGTGTCCTCCTACCCTGCTCCACTTATGGCTAGCTCAGCATTCCTCCTATATTTAGGGAACTTGGGCCCTGAAATTAATGCTTGGTATAGACGTAGCATATTCTTTTTTAATGATTTTTAATTTGAAATGTAGCCCTTGTAGAAGATGGCAAATGTGAGTGGGGAAAAAAAGCAGGGGGGAAGAACAAGGGAAGAAAAAGCAAGGCAGAGAACCAATTTGTTGATGAGAAATGGTATAATGTGCCTTTTCCTGGGACCAATGCATAAAGAAGGCAGAGGTTCTCGTACTACAACAAAGGAGAGGTGGAAGTACTGTAAATCTGAGCTTGAAGACAGTGGTTGATTTTCCACACAATGTTATCAGTGAAAAAACAAGGCATGTAAGCAGAAAAGCTTTGTTCTCTAGTTGTCTAACTCCAGGCATAGCAAGAATGAATTCTCCAGCTGTTTTCTTTTAAAAAAATCAACAGAGGCTTTAATGAAATGGATTCCTAGAGGCTCCAAATGGTGAGATACTGAACTATATAGACCTTTGGCTTGATCCAGCAGAACTTCTATTTTAAAGATGTACATTCCACTTAATTAGAACTCTGCAGAGCTTGCACACGTGTATGTGTTTTAAAAAATTGTAGCTTCAATTTATATTACTCTCACACGAATTTCTGATTTATATCAGATTTATGTGATTTGGTCAATACAAATGTGTGCTGCCAGCTGGAATGGGGAAGAAACTAGATGTGAGGCACCATGGGTATCAAAACTTGGATCACTGGCATCAGTCCTCTAATTCATGCATCTTCCTGGCAACTTGTCAGAAAAGGGAAGTGCAGGTACTGTGTTTCCCCCAAAATAAGACAGAGTCTCATATTAATTTTTGCTCCAAAAATGCATTCAGGCTTGTTTTCAGGGGATGTTTTATTTGACAGTCATATCATCTGGTTGCTGCACAATGGTGGAGGGCGGGGTTTCACTTAACTGGGCCTTATTTTGAGGGTAGGGCTTATATTACGAGCATCCTGAAAAATCATACTAGGTCTTAATTTCAGATTAGGTCTTATTTTCAGGGAAACAGGGTATTTCTTCAAGAAGCTGCATCTGAAGACTAAGAAATGGATTTCCTGTGTCAGATGATTTCAGATTAGGGTCCCCAACCTTGGGCCTCCAGATGTTCTTGGACTACAGCTCCCAAAAGCCTTCACCACCACCTCTGCTGGCCAGGATTTCTGGGAGTTGAAGTCCAAGAACATCTGGAGGCCCAAGGTAGGAGACCACTGACCTACAGGATCTAATGATGCTCCTTCTCTTGATATATAACTCTCTGGATCTCTCCTTTTTTGAACAAACTGGTGCGAATATTGCAGTTAATGTCAGTTGCAAAGGCTTGGTGCACTTTCAAATAAGGATTTTCTTGTCTGGTCTTCCTACCCCCTTCAAAGTTGTATAGGAGATCCAGATTTTCTAGTACTTCTTTCGCCTTCCCCCCCTTACCATAAAACAAACAAACAAAAACATTAAGCAGGCAAGATTGAATCGTTTTGCAGTATCTTTTGACTCATAGTTCTATGAGCTATTATAAAGCACCCATGAAATCACTAAAATCTCCATCATGCTCTAATTTAGACATATTAATCAATCATCCTGCAGGCTAAGGAGCAATCGCCGGGCGTTGATTTAACTGTCATACCTGAGAAGTGCCTCCTCATCTCCATCTCTGCTACATCTTTGCATTAGCACAGGCTGTGTGTAAAAATGTGTGGAATTTACAATGTGGTAGCAACAGTGGATAAAGAAACCAGTGTTATAGGAATATTCACTTTGGGATAGATCCCCAGCTGTGGCTGGACAATGCCCATCAGTCCTAGCCTGCACAGAGAACAGCAAGGACAAACAACACAAAGAGGTCCATCCCAGCTTTGTGGTGTTGGGGGAGCTCTTTGGCATCTGCCAGGTTTTGAAAAGTAGGCAGCAGAGCCTGGGAATCAATTTAATGGCTTGAAATTGCCAGGGAAACTCTCGAGACTAATGTTTGGACTTTCTTGCCCTGCTGGTGAAGGGATTTATAAATTAACACAGTGATGGGGATGTTGAAAGAAACTTTTTAAATTTGTCACATATTTTACCAGCAAAAGTCAGGTTCCTAAAAACAGAGTCCAAAATCATCCATACTATAGTATTCCTGATTACAATGCAGAGATTATACAACAAGTGAAGAAAGCTGAAGGGGGGTAAATTCTTTCGAAGCAGCATTAGTGGAGAGCTTTTTAGATTCTACAGACAGTCAGAATGACAGATAAGCATCTGCAAATCAAATTAAACCTGAACTCCCACTTAGCAACTAAACGACCAAACTAAAGCTATCGGGTTTTGGACATACTGTATCAAGAGGCAGAGCTCAGTGGAGAAGCCAACAACATACTGTACAGTATTAGGAAAAGTGGAAGGCAGTGGGAGAAGAGGAAGAGCTAATGTGAGATGGATTAACTCGCGAAAGGAACCCATAGGCTTTAGTTTTCAAGACTGGAGTAGGGCGGTCAACAGGACCTCACAGGACCGCCACATATAGGAAGGGTTCTCTTTCTCATGCCTTCTTCTCCCGATCAAACCTCGTGATTTTTCACGGCGCTTGGTAGGCGTGGTCCGTGAACACCCCTGCTCGAGGACATCACCTTCCCAAGCATCTGTCCTGCCCTTGCCGATCCCCTGGCCCTTTCCTTGTCCCGACATGCCAACCTCGCTTTTCAACCCTCGAGCCCTGCGCTCCGCAGGCCAGCGCCTCCAACTGCAGCCGTTTGCCCTTTGGGTCACAAACCGCTGCCTTCCGGCGGCTAGACTTTTCCGCCCGGTTTACGGATCTGTGGGTTCTTCAGCCTCACCATTCGTGAACCACCAAGCAGGAGTGACCGTAAGTCTCGCCCGCCCCGGTCGCTGGGCAGGAGCGCGCACGCATGAGAGGCGAGTTGGGGGGGGGAGCCTCATACAATGGAAAGGCTCTCGTAGCCTAATCATTTACTAGGTACCCGATTAAGCTTTTGAATTGTGGTGCTGGCGGAGGCTCTTGAGTCTCCCCTGGACTGCAAGGAGAACAAACCTATCCATTTTGAAGGAAATCAACCCTGAGTGCTCACTGGAAGGACAGATCCTGAAGCTGAGGCTCCAAGACTTTGGCCATCTCATGAGAAGAGAGGACTCCCTGGAAAAGACCTTAATGTTGGGAAAGTGTGAAAGCAGGAGGAGAAGGGACAACAGAGGATGAGATGGTTGGACAGTGTCTGCGAAGCAACCAACATGAATCTGACCCAACTCCGGGAGGCAGTGGAAGACAGGAGGGCCTGGTGTGCTCTGGTCCATGGGGTCACAAAAAGTCGGACACGACTTAAGGACTAAACACACACACACACACACACAAGTTCTAGTTTCATTTTTGAAGCAGCAAGGATGAGAAAGACCTTTGGCTGGGAAACTAGACAGTCTCTGGCAACCGAAACGGACAGTTCAAATCCGGATAACTTTATTGATCTGCTTGAGTATCAAGCATATATCCTTAAAAAGTGCGTGGGGCTCAACAGAGACGTCGAATATTTCCCCGTTAAAAAGCCGTTTCTGGCAGACTGATTGCAGTGAAAATCGTTCTGAGCCTGGCCGCTGATCTCCGGCAATAGCGGACTCGCTCCTCTTCCAGCCCCTTCCTATCTCTCTGCTGCGTCGTCTTTCTCGAGGAGTTACCGGGAAGGGCGGGAACTAATGCCCCCGCCCACAATCCACCACTAGCCAATCTTGGCTCCGAATGAGTGCCCCGTCAGTGCCAATTGCATGATGGCCTTGCAAGATCCCGCTTCGGAATCCTATTGGTTGGTGGGTAGCAAAGCGCACGGCGCGGAGCTCCGCGCACGCGCGCTGTACCGTGGCGAGTGAAACCGGGTTTTGCGCTGACAGGGCCTCAGCCATCCCCGACTTCGAGTAGGGGCTCTAACCCGGACCTGCCGCTTCCGCGTCCCGCGCGCACTTCGTTCTTTTCAGTGCTACTGCAACCACTGTCTCCATCGTCGCCATGTTTCTCACTCGCTCCGAGTACGACAGGTGAGTGCAGCCAGGGTAAAGGGAAGCGCGGCCTTGTCCTCTTTAGGGGCTGAGTCACTGTGGGCGGCCTGCTGCCTTCCCTGCCTTGCCCTTCCTTCGCGCCTTCTTCTTTCAGCCCTTCGCCTCCTGCTTCGTGGGCTCCGCGGGTGGCTGGATGTGGGGGGGGGCATTTTGCTCTTCTGAGCCCCTTTCTTGAGACTGAGGCTCTTCGGCCTGACTTCCTGCCTAAGTACCTGAGAAACGACCGAGCACCTCTGGGAAAGAGATGCTGGGGTGAGGGGGAGGCTGTGCCAAGTTGTACAGTTGTCTCCTTAGGCGTCCTCAATTGGAGGCAAGTTCTGTAAAAACACACACACACACACAAATAAATGGTGAAGTTTAAACTTTTAAGTGGATGTGGTTAGAATCAGGATGTACCAAAGTGTGCTGCTTAAGAAAGCCCACCACAGCAATGGGTCACCGGCTGAGTGAACTTTCTTTTTCTCCGAATTATCGCTGCCTTTTCCCCCCCAGCCAGGTAAACAGATACAGAGATTTAAAAAGGCTAAATGGCAAAAGATGCTTGTCCAAGGTTATTGTAATGGTAATTTGGGTAAAAATGAGTACACTTTCAAGATGCCTGAAAAAGTCACAAATTTATTGATTACAGCATTTAGTCACAACAGCCTTTCCCTGTACTTCCAGAGAATCAACTTGTCCTGCATAGATGTTGGGTGTTAGGAAGAACAGCACATGAGCTGGGGTGCTTGCTTGTCTCTTGTTTTGTTTGCAACTTGTGTCCCTAAGTTGTTTGCTTTCCAGAAATTTATAAAGGCTAGCTTGGTACTCAGAAATTGCTTTCTTCATGGTGGTTTTGAATTGCTTCTCTTCATGGTAGATTGGGTCTAACTGTACTGAGAAACAGTAATATTGACTGCTGTGTGTAGTCAAGGCCTAAGCCAGTTCCTTAGTCATAGTGATGAGTCTTGGAGCTTTTGCTTTCAGTTACACTGGATTGGGTAGAGGTCATGAGTGATTCATCCCACTTAAACAACTGAAGCTAAACAACAGTTCAGTGCTGAAAATGCTGACTTGGAGCTGAAAATGCCAACTTGGAGTGAAATTAGGTAGATTAATGCAAAAAGTTTTAAATGCTTATGCAGAAACTTAGATAACTTTGCTTGTATAAATATGAGAGCAACGGGTGAGTGCCCCCAGATGGTTGAATGTTCATGAAAGAACACTACTGTAGGCTGATCTTCTCTGTGTTGGCCTTTCACTTGGAGGCGGGACCTTTTTTATTCAGGCAAGCCGTTGGCATTAGTAGTTACTTTTGAAAGGAGTATGAATTGCTTGGGTTTTATTTCAGTTAGCAATGCACTTTTAACCTGTTCTATCTTTTATTAAACTTGTTATGTTTTACTTTTATCATTCTTAGGCACATTGAATACCATTTTGGGACAGAAAGGTGGGAAATAAATGTAATAAATAATATAGATCTAATAAGTGAAATACTCCAGAAACACAGAGAGAAGGCAACATAAAAATTGGCAAACTGCAGTTTACAAATGTATTTCTTAATATTTTGCCATATTCCAAGTCTCCCCCTTGCAGAATACCAGCTAGACGTTGGAGCTTCATATTTGTCTCCTGGGGGATATGAATATGAAGCTTAGCACCGCAGGTGCCATAGTGGTCCATTCCTGCCCCCTAGAACCAGTCCAGTCCACTCAGTGGGCTCGTCACAGTGCTCATGTCCGATAGCAGCAACATCGCAGCAATCATGAACCGACAGTGCCCTGCCTCTGCCCTCAGCCAACCACTCAGCAGCTGAGCAGGAAGACTTGTCTTCCCACCTCCTCGCGGCTGGCTGTGGGGAGAGGTGGGGCAACATCAGCGGGACTACGTCCACAATTGACACAATATTTTAGCTGTTAGACACATGTGCTGGAAGGAGCCTAATGAGTGGACCAGCTGGTTCTAGGGGGTGAGAATGGACCACTGTGGCACCTGTGGTACCAAGATTTGTATTTGTATCCCCCGGGATATGAATATGAAGCTCCCATGTCTAATTCCAGCACAGTGATATTTTTAGGGAAATAATGAAGTTTTAAAAATAATTGGAACATTAGCCATAATGTCACTTAAGCCAATCGTGATGTTTGTGTGTAGTACTAGGAATACTTTCTCTTATTCATGCAAGTTAGTTCTGATAGTTTCATAGCCAGGTGTTTTGTGGTAATAGATCAGTTATTTGTAGAGTTTGTTTTGTCATTGTAGGTTGTCAGATCAGGGATCCTGATGCCTAAACATGTCCCTAAGAGCCCTGCAGAACTTTCTAGACCTCCAAGGAAAAAAATTGGAAGCCTGTGTTCATCACAGCTGGCATTTATCCCAGTTAAGGGTTAATTCCAGAATGAAACCAGTCAGTTCTTTCCAATCACATTAAAATTCATCTGAGCATCAGGGTATAAGGCTTTTCATTGTTACAGTAATTCTAGGCAACATTAGATTGTCTGATTCTACAAGCTTTATTTCTGCATTGCTTTTATGTTTCATATGCAGTAAAATACTTCAAAAAGTAACAAGTTAAAAGGATGTGGAAAACATTCTTATAGCTCTGAGAAACAGCAGGCAAAAATGCTTAAAATATATAAAAATTAACCTTAAATTGCACACAAATTCATAAGTCAAAATTCATTCCAAAATACAATCAAATACTGTACTGTAATCTTTTTAAGAGTAAAAGGAGATAATAAGAACCTTTCAGTTATATTCTAAAAATGCTAGAGCGTATAGCCTTAAAAAGCAAATTTTAAAAGCAGACATTTTTAAGGATGAAAAATATATTTAAAAAAATGACTTTCTTAGCTGTAAAGCATATTAGGAACACACACAAAATAATTCTAAATGCTCACTCAGCCAAACCAGTTTGACTCTATGGAGGGAAATCCATGCTGATTGTTGTTGCTGGCATTTGGAAATGAAACCTGTTGTTGTGCTGTTATATGATTGCTGCTTTTTCATGTCTGGAGCCCAAAGTGGTGTGGAGTTGCATTGATGTAATGAGTCCCTGTGCGTGCGTCTTCTTACATTTATAATATTTCAAATGTTTACTGCTTCTCCTACAATCTCTGTAAACAATATCTTTTCCAGGGGACTTGATTTCCAAGTAAAATAATTAGGAAATTCTGTTGTTTCTGTAGAATTTGTAACTTCAAGGATTTGTAACTTAAAATCTGGCAAGCTGCCACAAGATTGGAGGACTAAAGCCTATTGTACCAGAGTCCTGGAATACCAGTATATTGTAGCTATAGGATCTGCAAACTCCACCTCCATATTATGCATTACAACATAAACATGTTCAACTTTCAGGATTGTTATGGTACTGGGACCTTGCTCAGCTGGATAGCTGGCTAATACTTTTGCAGTGACTATAATAAACTATTGTTCAAGTTGTAATTTTAAAAGTACTTTCATTTTTAGGGCTACTTTTTCTATACTTCCCTTTTTTCAACATTCTGTACATATAGCATTTCACACTTTGACATCCTCACCCCCAACAGGTAAACGTGGGGCTGTCTTGCTCGTAAATCTGGTGTGCCATTAAAAGTCAGCAGTTGACCTCTGGTGCTGAAGTTGAACTGCCTTCATTGTGGCTACATGAAGCTTAGGTTCAAATATGCTTTCACAACAATGTGAATATCTAAATGTTTGTTTTTAAAGGTGTTGTAGAATATTCGTCAATTCTAATTGTTAGTAGAATCATTGCAGACACCCATGTTGTGGCATTCATATTGGAATTCTTACTGACAATTAAATTAGGATGTTTTTTCCAATTGTGTACCTGATTTTTCCAACCAGTCATTGCTTACAAACTATGGCTACATGACAAACTATGGTGGATCCATAATATCTGCTGCATTTCATGGACAAAATAATTGAATTCCATTAGCTATGTATTAGTAATGGTATGATGCCGAGGACCTGTTACATCTGTCCACTCACTAAAAGAAGCATTTTTAGTATTACTTTGGGTTCGTTCTGTACTGTTTCGTTCTTTTGAATATGGTGTATACTGTTCATAGAACTTAAGTTGTTCTCAGGCTTACAAATGGAAACACCTCTTATTTACTTTGCACCATTAGTTCTAGTGAATAAGTAGTTTTCTGGTACTCTCAGGTTGTAAATTTATTTCTGAAGGTTCTAATTCTAGAAATCTTTAATTCCAGGAATTATGCGAAAGATTAGACTGAGAGGTTGACCTTTTTTTTTTAATTACAGAGGTGTGAACACTTTTTCTCCAGAGGGACGATTATTCCAGGTGGAATATGCCATTGAAGCTATCAAGGTATGGTGCTCTATTTTGTAGATAAAATACCTCGTGCTATTTCATAAAACATTCTGGATTGGGACAGCTCAATGCAGTGGTTAAGACTTTAGTATGCAGTTTGAGGGGCATTATACAAATCACAGATGTTGAGATTGTATAGGGAATGAGCAGCTGTAATTATATTGCTTTTCCTGATTAGGAATGGCTTTATTTTCTTTTACTATATCCAGCTGCATACTGCTGGAATTTCTCTTTGACATTAATTGAAAACAAAACCAATTGAAATCCCTTGTACAACACAGGTGAAGATCTAGATTGAGCCTATACCTCCCAAGACTGTTTGGAAAACCAAATGATATCTTGGAGTGGATCTTCCCTCCAGAGCTCAGTTCCCAAAATAAACCAGTCCTGTTTCCCCCCATTATATCTTTTTTTTCATGTGGCGCAAGCCATAGAACACTGTTCTCTGCAAGCAGAAAGGCACTCAGCTGACACCAGGTCATAACCATTTCTGCTTAAAATACACCTCAGTTAAAGTGGTATAAATCATTTTCCTCTAAACTATTCTTAGTGTCCTCCAGCTCTGTAAAACTAGCAATTTCTATTTTACAAACAAAAGAACAAGCATAATAAAATATTCTTTATAATTAACTTGCCAAATTGTACATAGTAACTGCATGGAGTACAGTAATAACTCTTAGTTCACTAGTCTTCATGATAGATAGTTGTAAATTTCTGCTCTCCAAGCTCACACACTCTGCCATCTTTGAGGACACATGAAAACAGAGACACTATGTTTGTGTTCACTATATTATCAATCAACACATTTTATCTTAAAGCTTATAATAACTACTGGAAAAGTTCCTGCTTCAGCTGAGTAGAGGTTCAGTAGAGATAGAGCAAATCTTGGCTGTTTTAGTCTATTGCCTTCCCTGCAGACTTCCCTCCCTGTTCACCTCTGCTTACTGCATAGCAATATTTTCTGTATCCTCCTTATAATGCTTTGCACTTAGAAAGGAAAAAATGTGTTGGCTAGAATCCTAATGATCTTTGTATAAGGGTTGCATAACTTGCTGTGGCTAATAGCAACTAATTGACAAAGTGCTGGGATGTGTCTCGGTAATGTGCTACGGGGTGCATGACCAAGACATGTCCTAGCACCTCAACAAAGAGCCACAGTTAGCTACGGGAACTTAAGCAAACCTTGTGAGAACATAAGATTCTGGCCGCTGCATCACATCAGTGGACAGCTTGTCTCAGATAAGCTTAAGTCATGTATTTAAAACTTGATTGACTTGAATTTTTGCATAATATGTATAACATTTTTCCAGCAGTGGATTTGCAAAATTTGACTTCATAGGGTGCAAATCTGATGACTGGTATCTGTATATTTTTGCTTAGAGTAACATTATAGGCCAATTCAAAATTATTTTTCTCCTTTGAAATAAGAGAATAGATAAACAGTGTATCTTAACTTTCATGGTGTTGAAGATGCATATCACGGCATCGGAGGAACTACTTCAACTAAAATCCTTACACACCTGTTATGCTGGTCAAGTAGGTAGATGACTAATGTGTGTAGGCTTGATGTTTTCAATCAGCAGACTTATATGATTGCATTGTCAATGTATGGCGAAGGTGACAAGTATCGTTTACCTTACAACTCTGAAGCTATAGAGGTGTACGGATTGTCCTAACAATTGTGAGGCAATCTCAGATGCCTCCTCCCCAGTTCACTTTAAAGTAATCATCATGGCATGCTCCCTATGAGCCTTTCCAACAGGCACATCTCACTCTCAGGCACCTAGGTAAGCATATAGCTTTGGAAGCTTTGTGAAGTCAACGTGAAATGTCATTATCCCATTTTTTTTAAAAAAATCTTTAATAGATTCTAATACTACAGTTACTTTGCAGAGGTCACATTTTCAACCCTTGAAGTTAAAGCTGTAAATTGGAAAATTTACAGTTTACAAAGGGTATTATTAAATGTTTTAGCAATATTGGAGAAATAGTTTTAATTCTCAAGTGTTTATTGATGGGAATTTGGTTTTTACTTTTCACAATTTTCTGTGTAATATGTATACGTTATCTTCTGTTAATGGGAATTTGCATTTTACTTGTCATCCTTTTATAGACAGCATGTATATGGCTCTTCTGATAAGTGCAAAACATGTGTGTTAAGAGGCAGTACCTCCAAGCATATAGACAGTGTAAACAGTTCGGTGTAATATCAGAAATGATTTGGTAGTGGTGATTTTTCCCCCCCTCTTCTCTTCTCTTTTTTAAAAAGCTTGGTTCCACAGCTATTGGAATTCAGACATCAGAAGGGGTTTGTCTGGCTGTAGAGAAGAGGATCACCTCGCCACTCATGGAACCTAGCAGTATTGAGAAAATTGTAGAAATAGATTCCCACATAGGTAAGGATAATGAAAATTTGTTTATTTAGTAAAGCCTATAGTGTAGTTGCAACACAAAACCCTTCCTCTGTACGTCTCTTGATGGTAAGTTCTCCTGTAGTATAAGCCACAAAGTTGTGTGCAGACTTCATATGGTAGGAAATTAATATTTAATGCTTTCCAGGCTCTAGGCCAGAGGGACATAGTTACAAGAGTAGGAAGCAGCAGCTGGAACTTGCTTGTGTGACCTCACTAGTGAAGGCTTGTCCCCAAATTTAGAACTTAGAGGGTGGAGAATTGCAGTGTAAATGTTTTATCCCTAGCCAGCTTCTGTGCTGGAAGCTCACTGATTGGACCACTAATGTTAGTTTGTCCTCTGGGCTCAAGACAGTTTCTTACATAGGCACGCACACATAGTTGAAAACTGGATCTTTGCTCCTGAGGAATTTAAATTTTATGTATGTTCTTTCCCTGTACATATTATTAACCTGATATCTTCAGGGTTGACTTTCCTTAAGACAGTATCAATTTTTCATTGGCAAAGGTAGAAGACATTTGTGAGGTTATTTTTATTTTTATCAACACTTTATTAATTTTTAATATGAGAGAATTGCCAAACTCCTTTGTATAGTATGTACACTTATGACCATTTGACATAGCATGTCTTCCTCGAGCAATATTCTACTTTAAGATGGGTGTTACTTTAATATGAAGATATTACAGTGGTGCCTCGCATAGCGAGGTTAATCCGTTCCGGATTAACCTTCGCTATGCGAAAACATCGCTGTACGGATCAAAAAAAGCCATGTTTAATGCGTTCCAAATTGGCAGAAAACTCACCGTACAGCGATGTTTTCCGGGTCCGGCAGCCATTTTCGTGCCCTCAGTAAGCGAGGGGAGGGCGCAAAAACGCTGCACGCGGCCATTTCGGCCGCAGCGAGCCCGCGGATCAGCTGTTTGGCGGGTCCAAAATGGCCGCCGGAACGGACCCGCTGAATAGCTGATCCGCGGGTCGCAAAGCGAAGGTCGGTAAGCGAAACGCTTACCGATCTTCGCTATGCAAATTTCGCCCATTGGGGCCGACGCGATGCCTTCGCATTAGCGATCCTGGAAAAAGGATCGCTATACGAATTCATTGCTGTACGGGGCACTCGTTAAGCGAGGCACCACTGTACTGAGTTTTTCTAGAATCATAGAAAAGTGAAGTTGGAAGGGGCCTACAAGGCCATCAAGTCCAACCCCCTGCTCAATGCAGGAATACAATCAAAGCATATCTGCCAGGTGATTATCTGAGTACAGTATTTCTTGAATGTCTCCAGTGATGGAGCATTCAGCAACTCGTGAGGTAACTGGTTCCATTGCCGTACTGCTCTATCAGTTAGGAAGTTTTTCCTGATATTCAACCAAAACCTGGCTTCCTTTAACTTGAGCCCATTGTTGCATGTCCTGCACTCTGGGATGACAGAGAACAGATCTTGCCCCTCCTCTGTATGACAGCCTTTCAAATATTTGAAAAGTGCTATCCTATCACTCCTCAGCCTTCTTTTCTCAAGGCTAAACATGCCCAATTCTTTCAGCCTTTCCTCATAACACTTCGTTTCCAGCCCCCTTGACCATCCTTGTCACCCTCCTCTGAACTTGTTCCAATTTGTTAGCATCCTTCTTGAAGTGTGGTGTCCAGAACTGGACACAGTACTCAAGGTGAGTATTCTAACTTAGTGCTGCTTTATTGTGAACATGGGAATTGTTCATTTTTCATCTCAGTTGTACTGCACTTCTCGTAGCTATTCTGGACAGATAGACAGTGACTACCCAGAGTGGAATAAGAATGTGTTTCACCAGGATTCTGTGGCCTTTATCTGCTTCCCAGATTTCAGAGAGACAGAGGAATGAAAACAAGACAATTTCCATCAGATACATCATTTAGTTTGAAAACATGTGCAGTTAAAGTTCAGCTGTAATATGTTGATTGATATGCAGTTGACTAACTATCCTGTGTGAAGACAGAAGATAAAGAAACAGTGAGGACAGATTGGCTAATCCTGTACTTGTTGGGCTGGTGAGGTGCTGCACTCTTGCTTTCTCATTTCTGTCTTTGTGCATCCTTGATTCTTTTTACTTCAAATTCTTCTACACCTTGTTTGACAGCATTTTGCCAGACATTTCAATCTTGAGGGAGAGCTTTCCAGTTGCCACGGACAATATTCTTTCAGTGTTGATTTCAGTGTATCCTTATATCATTTCTTTTCCTCATCCCACAATCAAGCATCTGCAGCAAGCTTTGCACAGAAAATGTATTTTGGGAGACAGTTGTCCAACATCCTGACAACACACCCAGCCCCCTGAAGTTGTCATTGTCTCAAGATTATAAAAATGCTTGTCATGTGTGTTTGCTCCAAGCTTTCAGTGTCAGGGACTTTATCCTGCCATTTGATGTTGAGAGTTCTCCAAATACAGGTAATATGGAAATGATTGAGCTTTCTTGCATGGCATGGATAGATAGTCCAAGTTTCTGCTCCAGAAAGTAAAGAGACTAGAATAACAGCTTTGTACATCTTCAGCTTAGCAGTACAATTGATTCTATGTCAGTTGCACACAGAGGATTGAAGTCTTCCGAAGACAATACTGGCTTTAGAGATTCATGAGGCCACTTCATCATCAGTGAGAGCACAGTGGGAGGCAGTGCTGCCAACATGTATGAATGTAAACCCACCCACTGTAAAAAGGGCATGTTCTATACCTTAAGAACTAGTTCCTCATAAGGCACACCCAGAATAGGTTGTTATATCACCATTGTCTTATAAGTATTGATCTTCAAGCCAAAATTGTTAGAAGTGGAAAAACGCTGTATTGCAACTAAAACTGTGCTCACGACCTGGGGTTCAAATCCCAGGTAGCCGGCTCAAGGTTGACTCAGCCTTCCATCCTTCCGAGGTCGGTAAAATGAGTACCCAGCTTGCTGGGGGGGCAATGTGTAGCCTGTATAATTAAAATTGTAAACCGCCCGGAGAGTGCTTGTAGCGCTATGGGGCAGTATATAAGTCCAATCAATCAATCAATCAATCAATCAATCAATCAATCAATCAATAAATCCACAAGTGTTATTGCATTAACAGTGCAGTCATTGGTTAGTAAAGGCTCACACACTGCAAAATAAGATATTGATTGTGGCCTGTGGACATCACAGATTGAACTGTTTCTCATCAGTGTGATACTGAAGGTAAACACCTTCATTATTCTGTAATTTTCTTCTCTGTAAGCATCCAAGAGCATTGCAGAAAACCTAACACTGAAAAGAGCTGGAGCAAGAACACAGCCTTGTTTTAAACTATTTGTAACAGGAAACTGATCAGAGAGGATACAGTTGTCAATGACACAAGCTTGCATAGGGTCAAAAATTCTTGAACTTACATGAATTAATTTCTCAGGACATCCAATTTTTTCATTATTTTCTCTGGACTTTCTCTGCACATCGTGTCAAAAACTTTAGTCAGATCTATGAACGTTGTGTAGAGGTCGACATGCTACTCTTGGCACTTTTCTTTTAGCTTTCAAATGGAAAATATTATGTCAACAGACCCTTGTTCCTTACAGAAGCCACATTGTATTTCTCGTTAGAGGCTTCTCTCCAGGTCTCCTTTGAGGTGATTAAGAAGAATTCTTCCCAGAATGTTCCCAGTAGTATTTGCAACTGAGATGCCTTGGTGGCTGTCACAGAGTTGACGGTCGTCTTTTTAAAAAATTAAATAAATGAAGAGTGGATAAGTATATCTTTGAAATTTTGAAGGATTTTGTCATGTTTCCACATTTCCTGGAAAGGTGTGCCAGTTGTTGAAGAAATGTATTGTCAGTTTTTTCTTAAGATTTTTTTACTGACTTGGCTAATGGCCTTTTACTGTGTGTTTCTACCAGAGATAAGGGGAGGTCCATGGAACCGTTGATTGGCACTTGTGGCAGCCTGCTAATCATCTCCTCACTAATTTCAGATGGTCTGTTAAGCGCATCTTAAAAATGCTCAGCCCATCTCTGCAGAATTTGTGATTTCTCACTATCAGTGCTGAGGAGGGGCAATATGCCTACAAGTTGGGAGTCGTACATGGTTTTGACTGCTTTGAAGAATTTCTTGGTATATCCATGATCAACAAAGTCTTGAAACTCTCAGACTTCTTGCAGATCCATGAGTTCTGTATCTTGTAGTTTAGACTGCAACCTGTGACTCATTCTCATCAAATCAATCCTAATAAACACATTTCTTATGTCCAGGTGGTTTCATAGCAGTGGTATATATATTATAGCAGAGAGTTTTCCATTGATCGTCAGCGCCAGCTGGAATTCGATCTATGTTTGCACTTAATTTTGTCTCCAGAGTCAAGCTGGATTTCTTGTGACTAGGTTTGAAGACATTTAGCTTTTTTGATGGTCATTTTCTTTGTGGGCATCAAAGCAGTTTTATCTATATATTCGTTTTTGAGATGAGTAGCCAATTACCCATGTAACATTCAGCTTCACACGTCACTTTAGTGTACATATGTACATTTTGTCTGTCCCTACATCTAATAATGACATGATTTAATAGATGCTAATGTCAGAAGCATGGATGAAGCCAGGTTAAATTGTTTCTGTTTCAAAGGTGAAATAATTTGTGATGAGCAGATTGTATCCACTGCAGATCTTCAAGAAAACCAAACCATTGCTATTACAGCAGCGGTCCCCAACCTTTTTGGGACCACGGACCGGATGAGCCTGTGAGAAGGTGGGGCACCTCCAGGCGCACTCTATCTCAGGCGCATGCACGAAGCGGTGGGGGAGCATGTGCCCGCCTGCCAGCATTGGCATGAGTGCTCCCCCCTCCCATTCCCACATGCGCAGGAGTGTCTGCACACCCACCTGCCCACACGGCCACCCACTCCTCCATGCAAGCACTCGGGAGCTTGCATGAAGGGGTGGGGGGTGCTCATGCTGGCGCTGGCATGCGTGTGCATGCAAAACAGCTGTGGGGAGGGGGTGTGTGCGGAGAGGGGAGGTCTGTCTCCACGGCCCAGTCTGGCTCATGCCACGGACCAGCACTGGACTGGAGACCGGTGATTGACGACCTCTGTATTAACAGTTCTCAGTGCCATCCTTTCCAGTGACTCCGTTCTGTATTTGATTATCCAAGCCAACTCAGGCACTAAAGTCACCAAGAATGATCAGCTTTTCTGATCTTGGCACACTATCAAGGTGGAGTGCAGATGATTGTAAAATCTGTTTTGGATGTAATTGCTATTGGTTGGAGTGTGAGCACTGATAAGTATAGCATATGTCTTTCCAGAAAGTGGGAGTCTTAAGAATCATCAGGTGATTGTTGATGCTTTGGCAAATTCTTATGTTTGCTGACAAATCTGATTGCAAATAGCAAAGCCAGCTGCTTCATGACAGGTCTCTTTAGAGTGGTCGCTCCAGAAAAAGGTGTAGCCACCATGAACTTGTATTTGTTCTTCTCCTGAGAGGTGCATTCCACTAAGGGTAATAATATCAGCATTATCATGTCTGAGTTCTTTGGCTACAAATGCAGTTCTCCACTCAGTTCTGCTACTCCTGAGTGTTATCTAAAAGGGAATGAACATTGCATGCCCCAGTCATATTTGGAGTGCACTTTCTTCTTCTTTTGTGAGTTCCTCCCATGAAGTTTGAGATCCCCACCAACCACAGCTAACTGGCAAAGATATAATGAAGCAGACATTGTTTAGGATGTATTTTCTATCCCCTTCCTCAATGTGAAGGTGAGCAGTGTGATCCTAAAAAGGGCTACTCAGTCACTCAGGGAGCTGTTGAACTCTGTTGCTGCCTTGATCTAGGTGAGCGCAACCCTGCACCCTGAACTGCCTGTGTACAGGTCCAGAACTATGGCTTCTACTGTATCCACACCTGCCACTTCATTGCTCACCTGTCGCCAAAGGGCTTTTAAAATAATTAATAGTTGTTCGATAGGAAGATAGTAAACTGACGTGATGGAGAGAACCTGTATGTGAGTGTATTTAAAGTGAGGAAAACTTGCACAATATTAGCCTTGCTGTCTCCTAGTGTCCACCATAATCCAGTGGCAAGACTAAACTGAAATGACTGAAAATGGGGTCTGGGCACAGTGGTTGACCATTTACTGAGTGCTTCATCAGACATGCTTTCTCTTAGTGATTGGCTGCATGGGAGGGGGTTTTGAATGGAGTGTTGTGCCTTGTTGCTGTGAATTTGTTTTCCGATTTTTAGTGTGTCATTTATTTGATACTTTTTTATATTTGTAGATTACTGTTTTTAGCTTTTAAATATTATTTTAATAATATAAGCCATCTTGGCTCTTTTTTATGGAGAAAGGTAGGGTAAAAGTATTTTAAATAAATAAATAAATAAACAAACAAACAAACAAACAAATGTACTACAAATGCATCACTAGTTTGGCTGACTTTCCATTGGCTCTATAATGGACTCTTCCACTTTTTTATCTGCACCAGTCTTCATATGCTGGGATAAAAATGTCCCATAAAGTCAATGAAGGGTGAACACACTGTCTTACCCTCATCTAGTTTAGTGTGCCTGTTATGCAGCTTACTGGTGTATGGTTGCTGCACATGCTAAGCTACTTGGAACCACAGATCAGCGCTGAGTGCCAGATGAAGCCGGTAATGAAAGGCAAGCTTATAGAGAGTCTGGTAGTCCAATCATTAGAGGTATTTTCCACTCATAGGCACCCCTTACACTGCCTGTGTGTGTATTATAGGTCAACTTTTCACTCGTGGCTTGTAGTCTTTGCTTTTTTTCTTCCAGCTGTTGATCCATAACCTTTGTGTGGTGCGTGTCCTATATGTTTCATGGGAAACTTACTCAATAGTTCATATGCTGAAAGCCAATATTTGCATATTTCAATCTTTTTCCAGGTTGTGCAATGAGTGGATTGATAGCTGACGCAAAGACATTAATTGACAAAGCAAGAGTTGAAACTCAGGTATTACTTAATATTCACTGTTGTGATCACAAGTTGGAAAACATTTTCATGCTTTATTTCCATTCTGAAATAAGTCTGTTGAATACCAGCACCAGAAAAAGAGAGGCTTATTTTAAAAAGGCTTATTAAAGAAAACAAGTGCTACTGAAGCAGCAAAATATTCCATGTGGGTGTTGTTAGATTAACAGAAACTGAGCATAAAGGTTTCAGTGCAATTAGTCTTTACTTTCGAAATCATCTTCCTTTATGCTTAGCATAATTTTGAGAAATCCACTCCCAAATGAAGTATTTTTAAATGGAAAAATATGTCTCAACCAATAGGATCTATAATCTTTCTAGGCTGGCTCCATACCTGTCTTTTTAATGTTTTTAGTAGAGATGGGCATGAACTGCTGGTTTGGTGGAACAAACAGATGTTCAGCACTTTCCAGCCATGCTGCCTCTGGTGGGTGTTCACTCAGAGTCAGCTCCCAGAGAAGGCAGGGCAGGGAAGCTTGGGGGGGGGGACTCCTTCTGAGTAGGTGCCTGCTGGAGGAGGTGGGGCCAGGAAGTGCCAAACACGAGTTTGTCCGAAGGACGGATGGGCACAAACTGCTGAACTGGCAATTTGTGTCCATCTCCAGTTTTTAGATAAACAGAGCACTTTAAAGGGATGTTAACTCTGTATTGGAAAACTGTAAGAGTACGGCAATACCCTACTCTGCATTAGGTGGTTAATGTGCAGTAGATCACTGGATTGCGGAGTCAGGAGTTGATTGTGCCTCCTAGGGAGAAAACTGATCTGTGTGGTTTTGTGCAAACTGAACTGTCTCAGAGTGCCACCAGAAAAAGGGACTCGTAACCCATTTCTGAGCATATAATGCCTAGAAAACTATGGGGGAAGTCAAGTTCCCGGCAAATTATTAATTAAAAACTATGTATGAGAAACTATTCTGAGTGCGGCTGGAATTATGTTTCAGTGGCCAAAACTAGCAATACTAATTTTGTGACTGGGATTTGTGCAGTTGTCTCCTATCCATTATAAGCTGTGTAGGAGCTGCTCTTGGAAAACTACCTCCTATTTGTCTTGAAATATCAGAAATATCTTAATTGAGTATGTATTGAGAATGCTGTAGGCAGTCTTGTTCTAAGCTAGTGCCTTTCAAATAGTTGTTAGAGGGTACCAGATGCAGGGAGAATGCTGTATAACATAGAGTATATCACAGAAGTGAGTACACCCCCTCACATTTCATAAATACTTTAGTATATCTTTTCCCGTGACAACACTGAAGAAATGACACTTGGCGCAATGTAAAGCAGTGAGTATACAGCTTGCCCTCAAAATAATGCAACACACAGCCCAATTTGGACATTGTCACTTAGGGGTGTACTCACTTTTGTTGCCAGCACTTTAGACATGAATGGCTGTGTATTGCATTATTTTGAGGGGACAGCACATTTACACTGTTACGCAAACTGTATACTCACTGCTTTACATTGTAGCCAAGTGTCATTTCCTCAGTGTTGTCACAGGAAAAGATATACTAACATATTTATGAAATGTGAGGGGGTGTACTCACTTCTGTGATATACTGTAGGTGGACAATGTGCAACCACTTTCGACCCTCAGGGTGCATAATGCCACCACTACCACTGATTTGTTATTACTTAAAGATCTGTGTGGTTTGGAGGGACCTTTGCAATGTATTTGGATTCATCCTGAACCAGAAGGACTCCCCCACCCCAAAACCTGAAGTGGGATCATTTCCTAAGCTGAAAACATGGCTGGGGAAACATGTAAGAGTTGTCTCCACACCTCCTAAAATGTGCAGTAGGTCTTTTTTAAATTTAAAAAATGGGTGGGGTGGAGGTGAGGGATCACTCTGAGCTCTCGGACCTATGGAAATTGCTAATTCATGCTGTAGACTAGAATACCTTGTCCTGATCAAATGGCTGAGCTTTATAATACACAGTTGCTGTGAGAGGAATAGTAGCCCATGAACCACATTCTGTCCCAGTTCCTTATGACTTTCTCTTGGCACAATACTGAAATTGGCAAGAGGGTCTTCTGTGTATCTTTCTACCTAGCTGGCATCCCTCCCAGTGTGGAGGATATTTCATTTTGCTGTTGAAGGGTCTTATGTTAAGCCAGGGATGGCACATTCTGCATCCTTTTAACTTACATAGTGCTGCTTGCCAAAATGTTGCTTAGGGAAGATTTCTGCACAGGCCAACACCTGGTGTACAAGGCCAAGTAGGCCAACAGTACATATAAAAGATTGCTGTGTAGCATACTGGATCTCCTCTTACTGTACACAGTGATGGGACACCTACCATGTTTTTCAGCTCTGGAACGCTGACTCTCTTTAGCCAAGCTGCTTGGAAAGGGTGTGGCTGATAATGCCATGACTGGAGAGGGTCCAGACCTTCAAACTGAAGAAATTTGACATGGTTCATTGTAAAGATTGTAAGAGATTTTGTTTCTGCAAGAATGCTGCCAAAAAGTGTGTATTAAAAAGAAAAGCCATTATATGAAAAGATACACAGACTATACTCTTCTTTTCAGAATCACTGGTTTACATACAATGAAATCATGACCGTAGAGAGTGTGACACAGGCAGTGTCCAATCTTGCATTACAGTTTGGGGAGGAAGATGCTGATCCAGGTGCAATGGTAAGTAGGTGCTTGTACTAATTTATATTTTGAATACACACTTTTGGCAGTATCCTTACCTTGATACTTGGTCATAAAACATTTTCCACTTACTCAGTCATTAAACTTTTAATCTTTCTGTAATTTTATTCCAGTCAAGGCCATTTGGTGTGGCACTGCTCTTTGGAGGAGTTGATGAAAAGGGACCTCAGCTGTAAGTTTAGCCTTTCCGTCTTTACTTTGTTTTCTTTCTGTTTGAAATGGAGTGTCAGCTTACAGCACTCAAGAAATGAAGCATCCTATAAATCAGGGAACAATTAATGTAAACTGATATGGCTGACTGATTCAATGTAAACCACTGTGTCAATAAACAAGAACTGTGAAAGCTATCACCCAAGACATCTCGAAGGCAAAAGGTTTTCCAAATTTGTTCTAAATGTTTCTCAGTCAAGTCAGAATAAACAACATTAATATGATTTAATTCTTTTGGCACAGTGCAGTTGATGTCAATTAACAAGCAGCATAGGATGATAGGGTTATGGGTTAGTTCATATTTTATTGTTTTTAAATTTGTAAACCACCCAGAGTAGGCCTTTGGTCTAGATGGGCAGGATAGAAATCTAATAAATAAATAAATATTCCCTTTTGCTGGGTATCTGGTCATTTGGATGTTCGCAAGATAATACGTACCAGACAAGAGAAATATATGGGGAGTCGAATCCTCCGTAAATTCCACTTATTTTAACACAGCAAGTTGCAGCTAGAATAGAGTGGAGATTCAAATGAGCCTACTCTTAATTGTGATTTCCTGCGTTAAAGTAAGTGGCACTTAGATAGGAGCTGACTCACTAGATACCTATTGATCCAATAGGTCTACTCTAGTGCAGTTTATTGTCCTAAGCAACAGAATTTTGGCCTTTGCATTCAAGTCCCTCACACGTTTGCAGAAGGCATTTATGTTCTCATGTTGTATTCATAAATATACTGTTCTGGAGGATTTCCTGACTCCAGAGTGGTTATTTGGAGGTAAACCCAGGTGCTGCAACAGTTCCAGTATACAGCAGAGCATCATGCAACATTATCCAGATCCAGTCTTTATAATTTATCTCTAGCTAACTCTCTAGTCGCCCTGCTGTGCCAGATGTAATACTTTGGCTGCCATGCATGAGGTATGTTCCTACTAGGAAGATATTCGTCTTGCAGCCTTTTCATTACCTCTTATTGAGCATCTCCTTTCTTTTGATTCTAAACCATAGAATATTACAGTATTTTTTTCTAGGGAATTTTCTTGGGATATGATTTTCCATACTTTTGTAATCTCCTATGTAGGTTTCACATGGACCCTTCTGGAACATTTGTGCAGTGTGATGCAAGAGCAATTGGGTCGGCTTCAGAGGGTGCACAGAGCTCCCTGCAAGAGGTTTATCACAAGGTAATTGGAAGACATCTGAAAAACAAATCTTGACTCATTTGACTCATTATAAAATACTAGTTACTACAGTTTCCTAGTGAAAATGGAGGATAAAACGTACAATATCAACATTTATTCTTATATCTGTAAGAACTGTTTCATAATTCACATGATCTTGGACTAATCCTTCTGTTAAAGCAATGTAATAAAGCAGTGCCTGCTTCCTGGTGGAAAAGAAATTCTCAGAGACAGTTGTGTCATCTGTCTGCATGCATACAGTATCATAAGTATAAGCTATTTGATGCTGAATAAATATCATTATGAATTGATATAATCTGCAGTTTACTTGAAATTGTATAAAAATGAAGAGCCAAACACTTGTGATGTGGTGGTATTTTGTACCTGTTCAACACATTTGTAAGTACAGTGGTGCCTCACACAACGATTGCTTCATACAACGATGAATTCACACAGCGATGGGTTTTTTTGAGGAATTTCCCCCATCGTTTAACGATGTTCTCTATGGGGGAATTTCACTTAACGATGTCCATTTTTGCTCATTTAAAAGTGTCTTAAAATGTTTGAAACCTGTTTTAAATGCTTGGATTCCATAGTGCACCTTGTGAAACATGTGCAAACTTAATTTGGTTTTGTTCTGAGTCTTCATTAATTTTTGGTGATTTTTTTTTTATTTTCCCCATTTAAATCAATTGAATGGACAGTTCAATGCATTTAAATAGGGAAAACAAAAAATCACCAAAAAGTAAGGATGACTCAGAACAACACCAAATTAAGTTTGCATAGGGTTCAGGAGGTGGGCTAACGATTGCAAGCATTTAAAACCTGTTCCAAACATTGTAAGGCACTTTTACAGGAGCGAAAAAGGACTTTGCAAAGCCATTGAAATGTATTGAGTCGGCTTCAATACATTCCAATGGAGGAAACATTGTTTCACTTAAAGACGGCAGTCCGTTCTAATTGGAACAGATTAACCGGTTTTCAATGCATTCCTATGGGAAATGATGTTTCACAGAACGATGTTTCACAGAACGTTGATTTTTTTGGAACCAATTAACATCGTTGTGTGAGGCTCCACTGTATCAAGTTAACCAAAATTGGCTTTGAGTCTAAGAGCTTCACTGGTATCAGACTTTCTAGAAATCATTACCATGAGAGAAGCTAGTTTAATTTACACAAAATTTGTGTGCTAGTATCAGGCTGCAACAGTGACCTTTTTTTTAGTTGAACCTCCAAGCTGACTAAAAAGCAAATACAGTGGTGCCCTGCATAGCGAGGATAATCCGTTCCGGAAAAATCGTCGCTACTACGGATTCGTCGCTATACGGGGCAAAAAAGCCCATAGAAACACATTAAGACGTAATTAATGTGTTCCTATGGGCTTGAAACTCACCGTTCAGTGAAGATACTCCATAGCGTGGCCATTTTCGCTGTTCGTTAGGGGAGGAATATGTCCCAGAAACAGCAGGCAGCCATTTTGAAACCGCCAGTCAGCTGTTATAAAAGCATTGCTGTGATCTGAACCGATCATAGCAAAGCCAAGTTCCACTGCCAGCCAGCCCTGGAGGACGCCTGGCCTCATTGCCGGGGCTGTCCCGGGGCACAAACAGGTGGGCCGGAGGGTCTTTCTCCGGTGAGCAGTGGGCTGGAGGGATGCAGCCGCCAGGGGTGGGGAAGGGGGATTGGGAAGGGACGCGCCGGCAACCCCTCGCTCGCCAGCTAGCCCAGGAGACACCCGGCTAAGGCAGGCGAGCGAGGGGTTAAAGGGATGCAGCCGCCGGGGGGTGGAGGTGGGGAAGGGACGCGCCGGCCACTCCTCGCTCACCAGCTAGCCCAGGAGACACCCGGCTAAGGCAGGCGAGCGAGGGGTTAAAGGGATGCAGCCGCCGGGGGGTGGAGGTGGGGAAGGGACGTTCCGGCCACCCCTCGCTTGCCAGCTAGCCCAGGAGACACCCGGCTAAGGCAGGCGAGCGAGGGGTTAAAG